AAGAACTCTCTTATTCTCCCACCCACTCCTTCTGGACCTACAGCCATTGGGAAAGGAGCCTCGCCCTAGCTCAGACACCTTGCCTTCAGGGAACAGGAAGCTCAACTTGACTCAGCTCAGGGGCTGTGTGTTCTGATTTCAACCTAGGGCAGTTTTGTCTTCCTGTTGACATCTTTAAAAATTCTCCATGGGCTGCTACCAGAAGGTGCCACCACATTTGGGGTGGGTCTTCCCACATCCATTAAGGCCAATAAGACAGTCCCACAGGCCCACCTGATGTAGACAGTTCCTCAACTGAGGCACACACACCTCAGGTGACTGTGAGTCATGACATGTTGACATTTCAAACCAGTCCTCCTGGGCAAGTGATCCTGGGCAAGTCACTTTATTCCATGAACCTCAGGGTCTGGAAAATAAATCCTGAAGAGGGTTGTGAAGGTCCTTAAGAATACCATACGTGCTAGAGTTTGGCTCTTCAATGTCCCTCAAAGGCCCATGTGTCATGTGTTGAAGACTTGGTCCCAGCTAGTAAACCATCTGGAAGGCGGAGGAACCTTTGGCAGGCAGGCCTGGAGGAAGGAGATTAGGTCATTGTTAGTGAAACTTTGAAGTGAATATTGGGACCATGGTCCCTTCCTGTCCCTGTGTTGCTTCCTGGTTCCCATGAGGTGATCAGGCCTCATCTGACACAGGCTTCTCCGGTCATGCGTTTTGCCACCAAAGGTCAAAAGCAGCAGGGCCAAGTGGACTGAAACTCTGACACTGTGAAGCCAAAATAAATACTTCCTCTGTTTACGCTGATTCTGACAGGCCCTTTGCTATAGTGACAGAAGGCCAGCAGCGCTGCTCTGAAAAGCAGAGTAGAAGTCAATTCCTACTGTCTCTTTGGTGGAGAGGCTTTACCTACCTGCTAGGGCTTGGTGAGGGAGTTGTGTAACAGAAAGGAGATCTTGACTCTGCAGAGAAGGGCCATCCCTGTAAGTGGTTACTTATTCCTTCTTGGCTACTAGAGGTCGTTCTCATGGAGTTCTAACTGTTCTCAGTTGTTGTCAGGAGGGTCCGGGCAAGGAATCTCACGGAAGTCATTGTGCGTCTTTCGGGAAGGACAGAGAAGGTGTCATACAGTACAATAGTTTCCTTTTTCTCACTGTTTCACTGCAGTTCAGAGTTATCGACGAATAACTGTCCCCACACCCTGTGACCTTGCAAGAGCCTAGTTCCCTCTGACGCAGGGTAGAGACCTACAGGCTCTGGTCTGAGAGCTGGGCTCCGGTCATTGCTTCCATGGAGAGAATAGTTTTAATTGCACCGTTAGTGGCAGTTGAGAAAAACAATGTACTTTGGGTCTAGCAACTCCACTAACAACTCACTTGGGCTCCCAAGAGGCTCTGCTGTGAGGTGTAACTGTCGGGCTGGGTCACTTTGGGATGCCTGCTCACCTTGCCTGGCCAAGCATTAAGCAGCTAGCTATGCCTGAGTGAGGAAAAGAGCCTGGAAGGCTGCCCTCTCCAGTCGGGTGCCCCCAGTAAATGTGCCTGCCCCAGATGACCAGACGCCTGGCCTCACTCCACACACTTTACTCAGATGTGACTCACTCGTTATTTTGTAAATGCCTTCTCGACACATTTTTATCTCTGGGCAGGAGGGATTTGAAACCCTACAAACTATTGTTCATACACCAGAAATGAGGCCCTCGGTTGTGAAAATAGGAATTCCTGCTGTGTACCGCAGCCTGACGGCGTACCTGGTGCTCATGGGGGAGTGTGAGGTTCCTTATAGGGGTTGACTATGATACAAAGGCTGAAGAACCGGCTGGGTCCTCACCAGCGTTCACCATCCGGGAATAGAGACAGGACAGTTTAGAGTGACGTTTTAGAAACCATTACATTTTAGTTATTTAATATGTGTGTATATACTTACAGGCAGATATCTCGTGGTGCTTCTGTGGAGGTCAGAGGACAACTTTTGGGATATGGTCCTTTCTTTCTGGCATCTAGGTCCTGGGTGGGGGTGGGGGTGGTCAAAGTGGGGGTCTTCAGGATTGGCAGCAAGTGCCTTCACCTAGGGAGCCATCTCATTAGCCTGAGAGGTTTTTTTTTTTCTTCCCATCTTGTGGGTTTGAAGGCTGAGAGAGAAGCTGTGTGGGTCAGACAAAGGTGAGTTTCTGGGTTGTGGGTGGAAATTAAAACCGCAAGAGGCCTGAGGCTGAGGAAGCAGAGTCAAGCTAGGAGAGCTCCTGCCACACCTCCTGACCCGAGAGGAAGTCATGGGGTGAGGACAATGAGGCCCTTGTGGCCTTGCCTGTGATGGGTATCACCCTAATCCTAGGCAGCAGAAAGAAAGGCGATGGAGCCAGACCCCAGGGTGCCCTGGAGGCTGGGGGCGGGGCACAGAGAATGGGAAGGAGCTGCCCAAGAGGGAGGGGACTTCCTTCAAAGTCCCTTGCTGCCCTTCCTCATTGTATTGTGGAAACAGCTCTGAGGCGAAGGCCTGCCTTGTCTTTCTGTGTGGACAGGAAGCTAGACTCCTCTTCTTGACCAGTGTCTAGCACCCAGTGAGTCCGGATGGTCTTACACGTGTTTCTTCTGGTTTGTATTTACTCCTGGGTACTTATGTGTCCCTGCACATGCACACGGGTGTAAGAGAGCATGTGGGTATCTTCCTCGATTGCTCTCCATCTTATTTTTTGAGAGTGGGTCTCTCACTGAACCTGGACCTGACCAGTTGGGCAAGACTAGATGGTCTAAGCTCCAGGGGTTATCCTATCTCTGCCTGCCCAACACTAGGATTATAAGTGCATGACACCATGTCTGGCTTTGATGTTGGTGCTGGGGTTCTGAACTCAGGGTTCCATGCATGCACAGTAGGCAGTTTACCTCCTGACCATCTCTCCAATCCCCTTGTTTGTCCTTCTTATCGAAGGAGAATATAGATAAAGAAAAATCTATACATGATTTTCAGTGAAGCAGTGAATTTCTTTCTTTCTTTCTTCTTTTTCTTCTCTTCTTCTTCTTCTTCTTCTTCTTCTTCTTCTTCTTCTTCTTCTTCTTCTTCTTCTTCTTCTTCTTCTTCTTCTTCTTCTTCTTCTTCTTCTTCTTCTTCTTCTTCTTCTTCTTCTTCTTCTTCTTCTTCTTCTTCTTCTTCTTCTTCTTTCTTCTTTTTACAAAACAAGGTTTCTCTGTGTAACTGCCCTGGCTGTTCTGGAACTCCCTCTGTAGACTAGGCTGGCCTCTGCCTCCCAAGTGCTGGGACTAAAGGTGGGGCCCACCCCACGGCTCAGAGCAGTAGATTTCAAAGCCAAGGGAAATACAAGGTGAGGTTTCTGTGAGTGCCCAGTCTCAGGATTAGCCTGTAAGTACATAATCTTGTTATAGTTTCTGTGTGTTTCTATTCAAATACACTGTGTTTAATACGTATCCTCAAATGGTTAGCATTGACTTGGCATCTAACAGCACTATGCCTCGTGCCTGAGGCACCTCTGTAAGCACATACTCTCCTGTGTGATAAGGCACAGTGTAGCCATCTTGTCCTTAGGAACCCTGAACAGAACTTCAGCACTTGCTCTTGGTGTGACTTTAAACACTGAGAACAGCTGGGCATGGTGGCACATGCCTTTAATCCCACACTTGGTAGGCAGAGGCAGGCGATCTCTGTGAGTTTGAGGCCAGTGAGGTCTACAGGGCGAGTTCCAGGCCAGCCTGGGCTACACAGTGAAAACCTGTGTGAAAATTAAAACACCAAGAAAAAGCCCAAACAGGTGGCACTAAATAAAGACACATGTACAGGGCAGGAATTGAAAACAGAAGGCAGAATGTCCTCATGTTGCATCGGGGACATTCACGCCAAGGAACTCAGATTTTCTCCTGCTGAGTCCATGTCGCCAGGCAACCATAAAAGCACCTGATCCGGGGCTGGGAATGCTTTTTTGGCAAGGAGAGCATCCCCAAGGTGAGTCAGTGAGCATCGATTATCTGTTGAATGGGGAAAGGAAGGGATGGTGACTTCATTCAGAGTTGGAGCTAGTTTGAAGCTATATGGTATGTGGGAGCTTGCTTTATGGAAAGCCCTGACCGGCTTTCAAAATGCGGAATTTTGAGATAAAGCCTCCAGCAGACACTGCAAGTCTGTGTTCTGTTATAAGGTTGCCCAGTGGCCACCGGACAGAGTGACAGAAAGCCACTAAAGACCACGAGTGTGTGCTGACCAGGAGCAGTCTGTGAACCAGCAAAAATATATCAGATCAAAGAATGCTTTAAGAGCTGAAGTCCTTCATACAGGACCTGTCTATTCCTGGGACACAAGGTCCATGTCTGCCTTAGAGGTTCCCTTAGCATCTGACTGTCATTTCCATGCCCATCATGTAAGTCAGGACTGTAGCTGGGGACCTAAAAATCCAGCAGACAGGACTGAGCGGCATTTACTGAAGTACAGAAACATGGTCTCCTGTTCCAGCTTCAACCACTTGAGAGACATGGTTGATAATACATCCACTTTAGATCAGAGGTCTTATCGAGAAATTCAGGCCTTTTCCTGCTGGAGACACTTTTAAATCCAGGGGATGAGCTGTGGATATGCATTCCTACAGTGACAGTTTAGGGCCTGGGAAGATGACTTCAGTCAGTCAAAGTATTTGCCTCACAAGCATAGGGACTTACACTGAATCCCCAATACCCATTTGCCTATTAACCCAGTATTGAGGGTTGAGTAATCTGGGGCTTACTGGCCAGTCAGCCTAGCCATATCAGTGAGCTCCAGGTTAGGTGAGTGACCCTATCTCACACAATAGGGATTTAGGAGGACACTTGATGTCAACCCCTGGCCTTTATGTGCATATATACACGTGAACTTGTACAACACACACACACACACACAAACTTGTATGCCCACGCACTCATGCACACACACACACACACACACACACGAACATGTGCACATGCAAATTGTTACTTCAAGGAGGACAACTTGCACCAAGTTTTTAAGAAGTGAAGACAACATCCTGTTTCAAGTTTGGAGCAGAACATCTGCTTTATTTTCTCAGCCAAAGAAGCGGGGGTCACTAGAGTTCACGTCTTCCAGCTCATTGCTTCCTACCCACAACTGTCTTCTGTGGTCTTGACAGCTGTAAGCATCCAGGCTCAGCTTGTGCCAGGTGTCATGTGGGGTGTGGCCCACCATTTGAGTCTCACCCCTCCCCCCAAGCTGGTCACTTCTAGGATTCTTTCTGGAAGAACAAAACACAAACAAACAAAAAACAAAAAGCAGTATCTTAAGTTTGAATTTTAATAGGCACCAAAACTAAGAAAAAGGAGTGAATTAAAATGGTGGAAAGTGTTTGCCATCTGTTGGTTGAACTTGGGGAAGACGATCATTGTAGAGCTTCTAAATAACACATAGCTCAGCCACAATGTTAGGAGACACTGGGTCCATAAGTAAGCCCACTGCCTTAGTTTCCCCATCTTTCAAAAGAGATGAGGAAACAGAAATAGACTAAATGGTTGTTTACATTTATTATTTATTTACCAGCAACAACAAAATAACGATGGCAGCAGCCAGTGCCCGGGAAAGAAGAGCAGCCGACAGGTGACAGGCACTGTGCTGGGTCTGGGGACGGGGAGGGCTACTTCATTGAATTTTTACCAGCATCTGGGAGGTGTAGCTAGTAGATTGTCTGGTGGAATTTTTACACCTGCATTTACACCCACTTTCAGGGGGATTGTCTGCCCAGGAGCACATTGCTAGCCTGAGGCCTTAAACCCAGCCTCAGGACAGGCTGGGCTGGGGATTAGTGCTTTACACACATTTTCCCACATAGATCTTGAGGGAAGAGTATGTTAATGAGGAGGAAGGAATTTTGCAAAAAAGAACCAGTGTATCAACTGCTCCTTTGAAGGAATCCCACCCTTCATACCAGAATGAAGTTGTTTTCCCACGCAGCTGGGCTGTTTGGGATGAGCTGTGGGGCTCTCAGGCTCCCCACAGCTGTAGCGCCTTGCGGGCTGGAAGTGTGAGTCTGGGTTTGTTCTAAGTCGGACTAGATTGCTGTCTTCCCTGACAGCTGTGTGTGGGGAGTCAGCCTCTTCCAGACCCTCAGCAAAGGGACTGCACGAATCCCAATATGTGGTTTCTGGTCCTGTGTCAGAGAAATGCCCAGCTCCCCCGCTGGGAGCTGGTTGCAGACCTAGGTGTACCACCTGACAACCTAAAACCCTTTGTCATTCAGGGAGGAGGAGCTGAGGTGTCAGAGGCCTTTAACCAAATCCCCGGGAAATTAAGGTCTTCTGTTTATTGAGGCAGAAAGATAAAGGAGTGTTTGCCTCCGGTTTTACTTGAACTGACACCACATCTATTTTATCTTGGGATTGACCTTTTGAACAGATTTAATCCCAGAAGACATTTGATGGCGAAAACTTGACCCTGAGAGTTCATGCCGTAATCTGTCACTTACAAACTCTTTGGCCCCTGAAGGCTTCCATATGCTGCCCATGGCCCATGTCTTCTTTCTGCTGTCTAACCCTCCCTAGCACGGGTAGAGCACAGACCCAGAATGCCTGCCTCCAATGTGGTTGTCAAGTGCAGAGAGTGAGGGTCACGGAGGTCACTCGGGCCTGTGTTACAGAGCAGGATGGCTGTCACCCAGCTCTGCCCATGCTTGCTTGGGGCAGGAATGTCTGAGGCCTGACATTGTGGGAAGTGCCAAGTTGGGGGAAATACAGAAATCACGACAGAAAGAAATGGCTAGTGAGAGATCTTGGCCACTTGCTCTGGTCCGTGCTTAGTCACCTGCCTCATCCTGACACAGCCTGGTGCAGCTTCAGGCTTCACTTACCCCTGTGGGTCAGCATGTGAGCGTAGCTACATGGGCACACACCAGTGCAGCTGGAAACGTTACCACCCTACAGACAGGCCGAGCTCAGCGGAATGGGATTCTATCAGCATACTCCTGATACAGAGAAAGAAAATATTACTTCCCCCCAAGCAGTATGTGGTTGCTTTGTGGGCAAGAGTACAGTTTCCATGAAAAGACTGGGAAAGAGGATGAGTTGTCACAGGCCCACTGAGGAGCCAGCCTTGGGTCTGGTCCACTAGGTCCCATCCTTGATCCAGCCCCAGAGTCCCAGCTTCCTTACATACTGTTACATATAACTTTTCTGCTCGTTTCTTTTAATTTTTTTCCTTCTGTATACAAGTGTTTTGCTTGCGTGTTTGTCTGTGATCCACGTGTACTCGGGCAGAGGCCAAAGAGGGTAACGTATGACATAACCCTGGAGTCGCAGATGGTTGTGAGTCACCTGTGGGTCCTCTGGAAGAGCAGCCGGTGCTGCTAACCACTTATTCTCCTGGCCCCCTTTATGCTCAGTTTACAATTTTTAGCCCAAAATTTAAAAATCTTTTAGCTCAAATGAAATTATTCAAGTGTGTGGCATAAACAATTTGCCAGAACTTGTTCCTTTGGGCTAAGAGGTGACCAGAGTGTTAGGGACACCGACCGTGAACATTCCAGATCTGCTGACGACTGAGGCCACCCTGGCCCTAAACAAGTGTCTTCTCTGCTTCTGATTTAAAACTGGAATGGCAAGTTCCTCTGGCTGTGAGTTCAGTCTTTTTTTTTTTTTTTTCTGAGTTCAGTCTTAATCAGAACTGCTCTGAATATGTTGTCAGCTGAGAGAGTTAAGTTCGAATCCAGAGAGAAATTTTCATCTATTTCCAAGTGAGGCAGCAGCCCCTCTCTATCTAGCACACAGAGGGATGGCGCTGGTGGGGGTGTGGGGGGGTGGAGAGACACTTGAGAGAGAACCCCTGGTCACGAAGGATAAAGAAATGATGAGAGGGTAAAGACGACCCTTTGAGGAAAGAAGATCCCAGAGAGAGCCTCTCAGTATCTTGTGGAGAGCAGGAGAGAAACACAGTCTGCTAAACACGCGGGCACCTCACACTTGCTGTGTCAGCTGACGCCGGGCAGAGAAATGAAGCTTGAAATGATTTTAGACATGGCATCCCACCCCACAAAGGGAACGTTGTTAGGACACCGGTGTGTTTACCATGTTGAGTGAATCAGGAATGGGGCAGTGTGGCTGGTCCCAAATGGGGACTGTCATACATTCCATCTCCTTCTAGACAGAGTGCCCTGGTAGAAATTAGCTTTAAAATGCACGTTGAGGTGGCAGTTACTTTTCTTTCTTTCTTTCTTTTTTTTTTTTTTTTTTTTGGTGGCTCAGACCAGAGGAGATAATCTCTTTGATGCATTTTTAGAGGAAAACTGAAGTCTGCTGAAGAATAGAAATAATGTCATCAGAGAGGCTCTGGCTCAGGGGGTTAGGGAAAGTGGGGTCTCTCCTAGACTCCACTCCTCAACCCCACCTCCCCTTGCCCCTGGGCCAAGGCAATACAGTACTCCTTGTGTGGGAGAGAAGATGGGGGTCAGTCTGAAGGAAAGGGGTGGGGTGCCCGCCTAACCTTGCTCCCTTGTTGCGTTTATCTCAGAAAAGGGTCAGCCTCCTGCTGCTACAGGTCCTGGGGCTGACGGGCAGCCCACCCCGCCCTGGATCACCATGGCCCGGCAGAAGCGAAGAGGAGCCCCAGACCTGCCTGTCAACCAGGAAGACAAGCCTGGGCCACGGATCCTGAAGACAGAGACTGGAAAGCAAGCCCAGGTGCTGAGAGGAAACCCTGTTTCTGGGGAATTCAGGGTGGGGTTTGTCAGGGTGTGGTGGGGGCAGGCACTGTGGTGCTCACAGAGGTCCTGCATGGACATCACAGAGCCGGTGCCTATGGTGACCACTGACACGCGCTTGAGGACTAATGAGGCCAAGTCACCGTGTCATCGTCTAGCCCCCATAGAGGAACAGTCTGCCTGTGTGGGCTGTTAAGAAGGCAGTGGAGACAGCTCTGTGCTCTGGCCTCCTAGGCAACGCAGCTCAGCCTCTGGGAAAACTGAAGAGAGTTAAAACAACGTGTCCCCTTAGAGACACGGTGACAGTGTCACCAGCTCCATCTCAGCTCATTGTGCAGTGATAAATGAACCCCGTTCCTGCTGCCGCCTGCTGAGTTCCCTGATCCCTCACCTGAGGCTGCTCAGCTAAAGCCCAGAGTTGCATTATGTATTCAGCTGAAAACAGCTTTCATCAGCCCTAACCACTGTGCTCAGTTAGGAGCAGGCCTTGCCTCGGCTCTTGTTTCCCTCCACTAAGCAGCGCTGTAAGCGGGGCTCTGCTGTATGGCAGAGGGAGCCTGAGCTGCTAATGCGTCCTTAGTTGTAGCCAAGGCTGGAGACCTATATGTAGTGCAGGGGCAGGGAAACTCAAGAGGGAACTGTTAGCCCATTTACCATGTGTCACAAAGCCGCGGAAGGATTTCCAAACCAACTCCGTTTGGTTTCACAGTGAATCCTTGCTGTCCACCTTCTGGGGCTGAGGCTAGGCCGTAGGTACAAGGAAGAAGCCACCATGCGCATATGGGCAGCAAGGGGCTGGCACAAATCAGAGCTCTGGCATTTCTATGGGTGACATTGGTGAGCTGGTGCACGGAGCCCGGAAAGTGCCAGCAGCATGATTCATCTTGAGAGAGACATCTTGTTGCTAAACCACTCTTGGGTGCTTACCCCTCTGAGTCTGTAGAGCTGGTCAGCATGTGTGTCATCCTTGTGTCTCCGTAGGACTCGGTGAAGCAGGGTGACTTTGTCCGAAGCAAATCTTTCCTGATGACCCCTGTGAAGCCTGCTGTGACCCAGAGGCAGGGGTCAAAGCTGAGCCCCAAGGAGGGGCTACAGAGAGGAATCTCACTGTCCCATCAGAACTTGGGTATGAGATTGGCAGGAATTTCCAAACACTTTGCCGTCATTATAACCAAAATCTTCATGCAGTTGGGAGTTTGTTTTTGTTGAGCTGTGTTGAGCTGGGCTTTTTTTAAATGCAGCTTTTATTGAAATGAAATTTACACATCATAAAACTCACCCATTTTAAATGTACATTTCAGCGGATGTGTCTTACAGTGGGCTTATGTATATTTGTAGAGTCCTGCCGCCCTGGTGGCAATCCAAGAATAGAACATTCCCTCACACTGGAAAGACACTCATGCCCATTTGTCTTAAACCCTTCCCTAGTTGTAGGTAAGCACTAACCTATTTATGTCTCTGTAAGATTTGCCTTTTTGGGAACATGAAAGCATAAGACATGGGTTCTTTTCTCTGCTGTTTTTGAATGTGATTCCGAGCTCACTGTGGTAGTCTGTGTCAGCTTTCTCTTTTAATGCTGCTGGACATTGAGCCCGGGGTCTTGTGCACACTAATCATATACTGTACTACCGAATAACACCCGCAGTATTTTCTAAATTGTATTTGTTTTGCATTGTAAAGACACAAGAATCCAACTTCCCAAGCTGTCTTTTAGTGTGTGGTTGTGAAGGCATTAGGCTTGGTCCAATGTGCAGCCTACCTCCAGTGTTCTGTGGTTAGACCCAGCACATTCTCAACTCACTTTGCCTCTAGAACCATCTAAGCCTGTGCCTATGCTCTTTCACTCATAAGCACACCATACCTTATGCTTAAATCTTCACACATTTACACATTAGTGGATTGTGTATTCCGGGACACAGCGGGAGACTGTAACATGTGTTTAAAACTATTCGAGAGACTTCGTGAAAATCCACCTCCCTGTCTCCTGCTTCTGTTTGTTTTTGTCTCTTTCCCAGCAGCTCAGGCTGCAGCAATGACAGAGAAGGAGTTGCATCAGCTGAAGAGAGCCAGCTATGCAAGTACAGATCAGCCGTCCTGGATGGAACTCGCCAGAAAGAAATCTCAAGCTTGGAGCGACATGCCCCAAATCATAAAATAGATTGGCAGACTGCCGGTGAAGGCTGTCCACTGCATTGACAGACTGCTTAGTTTCAAACTGCCAATAAATCACGGCAAACAGACTGTGAAACTTACGATTGATTTTTGTCAAGGAATTATGATGTGCTCCGGGAAGGGAGAGGAACCCGGCAGAACAAAGAAGACAGGCAGCTTCGGTCCTGAGCCAGAGGGGCTGCCGTAAGAGGACCCCGTAAAAGATCCTTCCTGTGCTGAGACTTCAGTGTGACCCTTCAGAATCCCCGTTCCAGAAAATGGAAATGAAGAGGAGTGCACATGTTGGGTGCCCTTTAAGAACAGAACCAGAACTTCTTATGAGTCCCAGGTCTGCTCTGTCACTTGTCATCAGTCAGTGCCTCTGACCACTGTCTTTGCGTGGACCATGGTCATCTTTTGTGTTTCCTATTAGGCATGACGTTTATGGTTGAAGCAGGGATGCCATTTACAAGAGCAGCTACCTAACAATCCAGTTTCCTGAAGATACCCACCCTTGAGAAGGGGAGGATGGGACGTGGCAGGGTTTGTCAATTCATAGACTGTTTCCAAAAATAATTTTTAAACTTTTCCACTAGGCATCTGTGTCCTGAACCATTGCACAATGCATTGCCTGTTTAATAAAAGGTTTCAAACATGCTTCTGCTTTGTGTGTAAATGTTATTTCTGCTCACAGGGAGACTGAGTTAAAGGCTGGGTGTTGAGCCTCCCTTCACACCTCACTGAAAATCCTGACTGGATTGGGTGTGTGAGCCTTGAGGGGGGTGGCAGGGGGGGGTTGGCTTGTTTGTTTTCATTGTCCTAACAGAACATTGGTGTTCTTTTTAGAAAGAAAGAATATGTAGGCTTTTTTCCCCCTCATTTTCTCTATGTACCAGTCACAACACCGTATAAAATTCTTAAAGGCTGTCTTAGTTTGCTTTCTGGTACTGAGATAAGCATAGCCAAAAGCAGCCTGGTGAGGAAAGGGTTTATTTTGGCCTGCACATCCCGGGTCACTGTCCACTCAGGGAAGACATGGCTGGAACTTGGAGCAGATGTTGAAACAGAAGGCATGAGGAATGAATGCTTGCTGCTCATAGCTTGCTCAGCCTGCTTCCTTATACAACCCAGAGCCACAGGGATGATGCTGCCGGAAGTGAGCTGGACCCTCCCCCGTCAGTCACTAATCAAGAAAATTCCCTTGCAGACTTGATGGTGTGCTATTTAATGAGGTATTTTCTCAGTTGATGTTTCTTCTTCCCAGGTGACCATGGTTTATGTCAAGTTGACATAAATAAAATAAAAATTAATAACTAACCCTAACCAGGTCGCAGTCAAGCCTTTATTGAATTTCACTCATCCAGCCTGTATATTCCTGTTGGCAACTGGGTCACTGGTACAAGAGACAGACATGCAGAATGTGGTGACATTGGGCTGGAACAAAACTTGGGGATCTTGGAGTTTCTATATAATTGTTGCTTTAAAATAACTGGCCAGTCTCCACGGGAGTTAGTTCAGCTAGACTCAAAATCAGTCCAACATCACAATATATTGTATTGTAATTTGATTTTATGTGTCCTAAGGGTTGCCACTTTCAGTCTATTTTCTACCCTTGTGAAAATTACTTTTCAAGCTGTTAGTACTCCACAATTTTATTGCATCTGCCTCTGATGAAAAAAGTCTTGGGACAGTTTTTCCCCCCAGCCAAATTGATTTATCAATGACATTCTCATAGAGAATGTAAAACCCGAATTCTACAACGACTGTGTCTGCACAAGAACTCTAAAGCTTCGGCATTAATAGTTTTAGCTAGAGACAAATGAATGTGTTCGTGCTTACCCTAAGCCATCGTTTCTCTGACCAGCAGGTCTTTTCAGGGGAACCCTGTGGAGGCAGTGGTCTCACTTTAGCATCAAGGAAAAGCATGCTGTTAAGTGTTGATTAAATAGGGGTTACCATTCCCTGTGTTTCAGGGTGTGGCAACCCAAAGGCCGTAGGTTTTTAGGCTCATAGGTGAATTCAGTAGGTGGTATAACATGACTCTACTAGGTCAGATACTAGGGGATGAAAGGATCAGAGAAGCAGAGCAGCCAGCCGCTGGAGCTCTCACCTCTACAAAATCCTCAGACTGAAAAAAGACAGTGAGCGCCTGTCTCCTCCCGCCTGTCTTCCTCTCTCCACCCAGCCATCTCACTTCCTGTCTGTCCAGACCTCCAGACCTCTATGGTTAGTTAGTGGCTAGCTCTGCCCTCTGATCTTCAGACAAGTTTTATTTCTTAGAGTATAAGCAAGATATCACCACAAGGTGGGATGGTAGCAGCCTATAACCACCACCTTCTGTGAGGGGATTGAGGTCTACTACACTAAAAAGAGCCAGAGAAGAGCCAAGGCTCAGTGACGATTATCTAGAAGTCTGGGGTAGCAACAAAGATGGGGAAAACCTTGGAAGTAATCACCAGCCTTGATTCTCCTGAGAAGACTGGGCAATGCTTGGAGTATGTTAGACACATTTTTGACAGGCGTCTCCACTCCTTGGGGTGAGCACTTATTTCCGCTGTGCAGATGAGGAGACTGAGGCACACTGAAGCCAGGGCCATTGAGGACCTACATGTTTAAACCGTACTGTGAATCATCACTTCTGTGTTTGTTTTTGCTTTTCAGAGCTGAGGCCTAAACCCTTGTGTTGCTAGGCAAGCAATATACCACTGAACTAAGTCCCCAATGCCAACATTCCTGTTTTTAAAATGCAATAGTACAGGAGTGAACCTTGTCCTCAAAGACAATGTGGGAATGTACTGAACTTGACCGTGAGAGCTCCTGTCTTAGCAACAAGTGTGTATGTCATGCTGTCTCCGTGGTGACCACCTTCGCCCTCATCTGTTAACTCTTTTATCAGGATGAGAGAAAGTGTTGGCTTTTGGTGGCTTTAATTCTGTCATTTTTAAATTGCCAGCACACTTGAACAATGTATAATGTTTGTAACTTCCGTGAAAGCTCCCTATAAGGTTTTTTACAGTGGGGCTCAGTCCCATGAAAACTCTGCTTTTGTGGCAGACCCATTTTTTTTACATGGGAAAGGGATACAGTGACTAGACATTAAATATGCAAAAATCAAAGGAAGTACTTGTAGGGTCAACGATGAGCCTAAAATAGAGGTTGGCTGTAGCCAAATGGACACTTAAGGTTGGGGTAGGGTTGGCTGATGAGGTAGTCTAATTATATAGCTAATCCCAGTGGCCTGGGCTAAGGTAACGGTCTAAGTGGGTGAGTTTGATATGATATGAGAAAAGAATATAAGTAAGGGTTGACGCCTCAATTTTTGGCTGGAGTTCTTCATTGAGTGGAGAAATCATTTACAGAAACAGAGCTGGAGAGAGAAGTCCACAGAAAAGAGGACATCTTAAATGACTTCCCATTAAGTCACCAAGTAAATACACCATGTCCATGGATGGAGTTATAGATTTGGGAGATCTCAGTATGAAACAGAAATTCAGGTCTGGAAGAGGGAGAGAGGGGTTGCTGCCTAGACTGATCTAAGGGTGCCCTGACTCTAGGTCCCCAGGGAAAGCAGATGTATCCAATTTGCCTTTGGAACAAGAAAGAGAAGCCGATCAGAGAGAGGAAAGAGAATAGTGTTGGGAAGGATGAGGCTGAGATCTGCTGGATGGCATTCATCAAGGGGAACAAGAGCTGACTCTGGGCACACAGGAGTCATGGGTGGCCTTGATAGAGCCCTTCTTGGGCGACTACTGGGGTAGAGGCTCAGATGAAGCAGGTCAAAGCCAGCTAGAACTAACTTTCAAGAACTTCTCTATGAATGAAAGCAGAAGAAATGGTGTAATTGTGTGAGTAACCATTTTGTTTGTGTACTGGAAGGAATATACAAAGGGGTTTGTGTGTAAGTGGAAGTGAACTTAGAGGAGAGAAATCAATCGTGAGGCGGGTCTTTTGGAAGCATCCCAACTCCCCATGGGTTCGGGCAAGGATGAAATACTCACATCATGGACGGCTCTTGTTCCTGGAAATGGAAGCCCCGTGTTCTGGTCCAGTTGGCAGGCAGTGAAGAGTCAGCCCAATGCAATGGTGGTCTGATCAATGCTTGCCCTGCTTGCCTGCTTCTGACCCATTTTCCTTACCTTGGTGCCTGCCGAGCTTCATGGTAAGACGGAATGGATAGGTGTTATCTGGGTGTGTGCAGCTCTAACATCCCACAACTCATTCACTGGGTCTGTGGGCTCTTTCCCCTTAAAGAGCAAGATAAAATCAATGTAAATATCTGCAGATTTCATGCTTGGGAAATCCAAAGCTGTCACAATTCTTGGGCATTCTGCTCCCCACTGTGCTCTGCACTTGGGACGCCTGCATTTTGGGGGGGATTGTTGCTATCTTAAGGAAGAAGTGACTCCTTCAGCAGTCTGTGGAATTCCATGTACACATGACATTCCTGTGTGTCTAAGTGTGTGTATGTGTGTGTGTGTATATGTGTGTGTGTGTGTGTGTGCATGCGCGCACGCATGCCTGCATCTCCATCAGTATGGGGTGTGTGTCTTCATGACGTCTCTGTCCTTTCCCTCCCCTTTTATGACTGAAATTGATTGGTTAGCCTGCTTAGCCAGCAAGCTTCAGGGTCCTCCTGTCTCTGCTCCCTAGCACTGGGATTACAGGGGTGCACCCAGCCCCACACCTGACAGCCTTTGTCTCGGTAGAGCTCATTAAACATGTGGGGTAGCATGATGGTTTTGTGGGTGTGAGGAGACACAGCTTTCTTTTGTTTTTCTTTCTTAATATTTATTATATACACAGTATTCTGTCTGCATGTATGCCAGAAGAAGGCACCCCAGATCTCATTATAGATGGTTTTGAGCCACCATGTGATTGCTGAGAATTGAACTCGGGACTTCTGGAAGAGCAGCCAGTGCTCTTAACCTCTGAGCCATCTCTCTGGCTTTCTTTATCTTCCTGGTCCCATAGCTCCAGCCACCCAGAGCAGGACAAATCTCCCTTGGTTATCTCAAGAGCATCATCAGTTCATCTACACACATATGCCACTCCAAGTAACTAACAGAGAGCCTCTCCCAAACAAATGGCATCATCTCACTGACAGGAGTCGTGATGGATGGAACTTTCTCAACTCCATTCAAGCCTGTCCTTTGATTAATGCTGAATAGCACCAACAACAAGATCTGTGTTTCCCAGCATGGCCAGCATGGACTCCATCTATCTGAGTTGTCACATTTCTCAAAACAGCCTTGGAATTAGACTGACTGTCAACGGCCCTGAAGATCTCTCTGCTCTAGCTAGCTTCCAGTAAGATTAGAGCTGTGGCTGCCTTGTCAGCTGCCAGCTTGAGGATAACCAAGGCTTCCTGTGGATCAATGAGAAGAAAAGGCACACAGCAAATACGCAGGCCCCTGACACCCTAGCGATGGTGTACTTTAGCTTTGCATAAGTCTGGAGTGGAAAATGGAGGGAGAGACTAAATGGAGGATATTCTTTATCCTGGAGCCTAGGAGAGAACAAAAAATCTTTTTTTATAGCAGTGGCTTAAAATAAAAAGCAAATATTTTAGGCTGTGAATTTAAAATATGCCCACAAATCCTTCAACAATCCTCTCTTCAAAGCGTGGGGCACACTGCCCATCCTGAGTGAGGATCAAC